TGGCACAGCTGCCCAGGGCAGGGGTGGAGTCCCCATCCCTGGAGGGATTTCAAAGCCCTGTGGGTGTGGCACTTGGGGACATGGTCAGTGGTGGCCTTGGCAGTGCTGGGAGAATGGTTGGACTCGACGGTCTGAGAGGCCTTTTCCAACCACAACGATTCTGTGACCATGGGCCAGTCCGGGAAGGTCTGAGGGTTTGGAGCACAATCCACTGCCACATGTCAGGGTGGGGCCCACACAACAACTGAGTCTGTCACTGCAAGTGCCCCCAGTCCTTTTTACACACCCTGCTCTGCCCCAGGACATGCCAACTGCCCTCCTCTCACCACGCAAGGGACATGCACATGTGTGCACATCCCCCTGGCACCTGGAGGACCCACACCTGTCTGGATGTGCCCATCTGCAGGCCCAAAGTCACCTTGTCACTCATCTCTCACGTCACCTGTACCCTGTGTCCTGCAGCCACCTGCACCCTCGCTCACAGGGGCGGCTCTGGGTCTCAGACACCCCCAGAATGGATCCCCCTCGATTTCTCACACTCACTTCCCTTGTCTGCTGGCAGCTCCAGCAGCTCCGTGCATGGGCAGGCATGGATGGCACCACAGAGCTGTCAAAGGGTACTCAAGAGCAGTTTCTCAACCTAAAACAGTCACAGGCCAAGCACCCAGCTGCCAAATACCAGTGACACGACTCTGACATCAGCTCTGTCCATCCAATCCTGATCCTTCGCTGCTAAAATGCAGCGCGTGGCAATTCCCTGCACTCACGGCTACGAATCCTGTTGGTGTGACATTACACACCCTGTGTGTTGTGCAGCTGTTACACGCCAGAGCAGCACTGGGAAGGTCTGAGTCTGCAGCTGCAGGAGGGTGATTTGGGGGTGGGAGCTCCCCTCGAACAGCACCATTCTCTCCAGGGCGGCCAGACCCTCCCCAACCACCCACCATGCCTAGGGGGTGCAGGGGTGCCCAGCCCTCGGGCACTGCTCCCCACTGGAACAGGCACGAGATCCCCATCATCTCCTGGATGAAGCAGTGACCACGTGGATGCACTCAGAGAGCCACTGGTGACCTGACCAGAGCAAAGGCACCACCCAAAATCCCAGCAGGCAGATGAGTGTGAGCACCTTCCCCACATCCCCGGGGTCCTGGTGCCAGCTTGCCCAGCAGGGATTGCCTCCAGCAGGTGACACCTCCAGGGACTGTCCTCCCTCTCAGCACTGGCATTCATGTAGCACAGGAGGCACGATTTACTTGCTCAGCTTCACTGCTGGACTGGCTGCATACCCTGGTA